TCATGAATCTGTGGCTTTACTGCCCTTTTACTATATCTATTTTCAATCACAGCTTCTATCAAAAAGGACTCCTCAGCACCCCCTTTATATTTTCCCTGCTCCCCTTTCTAAATATTCTAACACTGTATTATGTGAGATGTTCATCTCTTTCATCAATGTGGAGTATGTTCCAATCACAAAGTCTTTCTGTAGGGTTTTGTCTGTCTGCCTCAGTAGCATGGAAGCCTGTATTTCTGAGTTTCTGTTTAATTCTGTTTTATTTATGTGGAGGTTTTTCTGAAGTGCTGTCCTCCACCAACATAGTCGGGTCAAGAAGTAAGATTCTGTGACCATATTCTGGCAAGGATGTTTTGATGATTGACTTGACCTCTATGGACCCTTTAGAAAAGATTTAGCCCCCAGGTCCCTCGCAAAAATCCTGGCATTTTTTGGTAGACAGCTAAATTCAAGATGGCGGCCGGCGCCATCTCTAAAAATTAACTTTTGATCTGGATGACCTAGAATCATGTATGAAGGCACTTTTCCATACAACTCAAGCATGAGGTTTCCAAATCTGACATAGTTTTAATCATACAACTTTGTTTTGACCGCGATATTCAAGATGGCTGCCATCTAGTACTGTGATTCTCAACCTTTTCAGGACTTGACCCCCCAAAAAAATCATATTTGAACTAGGTAACCCCCCAATTTGTTTGACTCTGTTCCACATATACATTTTGTGAAAATAGCAGATCTACAAGCCTCTAACACCTTGTATTGGGAGGTGTGTGAGCTTGTAGATCGGCTATTTTCACAATTTCTGCCTTTTTCTTATATTATTTGACAATTTGACCAATGGTTTAGCATTGTTTGTTGATAACTTTGGATGCAGTGATGATCTTTTTCTTTGAGGATCTTACAAGTCCTAACATTATCATTTCACTGTCGTCTGGGGGTACCCCACCAACCAGCGATCAAGTACAGAGAAAGCTTAACTTAACAACAACATAAAAGCAAGTGAGTATTGCACTCAAACTATCCAGTATGCTTGAATCATGTCAGCAGCAGTACTTAACTCAGGCAATTTGATTGGCTGTCCCTTCATATCAGGGCATGTTAGCACATGCTGCTTTTTTAGTGCTGCTGCTTTCCTAAATGTTGCCTCAGTCATACTTTTGAGCCCACAGTAAGAGGAGCTACACATTTAGTCATTCTTTTGAACTCACAGTTAGAGGAGCTACACATTTGATCTGTAAAGACAGTGTGCATGCAGCATAGATAGCTGCTTGAATATGGAAGAAAATAATATACCAACAGGGACAGACAGACAGTCTTGTATTCTCCAGTGTGGTAGTCTGTGTAATGAAGCCACAGATACCATTAAGTCAACCCAGAGATGAGAAAACATAAAACACAAACAGTCGTTTGGCAGCTGGATCTGCAGCTGTGGAACAGTCATCCAACAAAGAATACTGAGATGGGATTTCTTTAGTCTCTTGTTTTTTCTGTCTTTTTTTTTTGGCTTGTTCCAGTTTATTAGAATTGAATGGGGTCAACTTACATGCTTCATGGACACATTTTCCAACCGGACCTTGCTCCCAATCGACAGTTGTATAAACATGTCCAAACTTGCCAAGGCCACTCCATAACAGTGCCCTGTGTTTTATGTTTTCCCATTAGTTTGAGTGCAATATTCACTGGCCTTTATGTTGTTAAGTTAAGCTTTCTCTGTACTTGATCATTGGTTGGTGGGGTACCCCCAGATGACAGTGAAATGATAATGTTAGGACTTGTGAGATCGTTCATGAAGGAAATATGCTGCAGTGGTCCAGACTTGATGTTTTTGGATATTTAGAGTTGATATTTCAATGGGCCGAAGTCCAGACTGTTGTTGGAAGGAACCGCAAGTGATTCACGCAACAGGATGGCCCAGCCAGGCTACAATTAATCTAGATGTTTTACAACCAATATTTAAACCCTATGTAAACCTTTAATAAATGGTTCATAAATGATGAATGAAAATTATTAATCATAATTTCATTGCTTGTTAATGGTAAAGTAACTATTAACTTACATTAATAAACTGTCTATTTACCATTTATAGTTGGTCTATATGCTGTTTTTAAATGATGATTAAACAATAACAAACTATCTTTTTACCATTTATAAATTATTTTCATTTAAAGCGTCAGTGTTAAATTTCCTCATTTCTGTGTTTTTATTTTACCATTAGATTAATTGTCACAGCTGGCAGAGCCCCTCAATGTGCTGTAAACCCCCTTATAAAAATAATACATGGTGAATATTGGGCTTAGGCAACAAAAAAAAAAGCTATTGACTGCCGATTTTGCCGTCAACAGTACCTTTTACAATAAAATTTTGGAATATCAACCAGCGGCTGTCTTGGTTTGATATATAGTTACAGGGAATTATAAAGATGTGTTATCATTTAAAAATCATGTGTTGCCCGGTGTGACTTCATCATGACTGAGACTATAAAAGGCAGGAACCAACACAGCAGAGATCAGGATTTTTGAGGATCCTGATGAGTTTCTGGAGAGTAATGATCTGTTGGAGGACACAGATGCCACCTCCAGACCAACATGTGCTGCTAAAGATGTGGACATCTTCACCTCTGTGTGGTCTTCTGCACAGTCAGACATCTCTGCATCCACATTTGACACCCTACCAGAGGAGAGCAGGAGTCTGTCCTTCATAAGCTCAGATGTAGAGGAGGTGAGTGAATACTACATTATCCACACACACCTTGATACACAGGATAGGAGAGAACAACAAGGTCATTTTTAAGGGTTAACACACTTTAACAAGAAAATTTTACATCTGGGCAAGATGATTAAACATTTTGCAGAGGAAGTGTTTTTAATTTGTAAGGTTCTGATTATCATCTGTTTGACAAAAGCTACATTTTTCCATCAGTTTAGTTCAAATTCATTATTTGTTTCTTTACTGTTTTCACTGTTGTACCCTTTCTAGATGGAGGGTTTTAAAAGGACTTCTTCTTTAACTCCAGTTTTACAGCTTTTGTTTATTTTCTTCTCTTCCAGATGTCTAATTTGAGTGACAAAGAAAATGAACCAGAGAGCAGCTCCACATGCACCTCCGTGTGGTCTTCTGCAGATACTGACCCGATGAACTGTGACGATCTTCTTCAGGAAGAAGACTTCTTCTGCAGTCGCAGTTCCTCACCTGCAGACGAGCTGAAGTCAGACAGTTTGACTTGGGGCTCCCTCAGTTGGGACTGCAGCTCCACATGTACCAATTGTGATGGGTATTACTTCTGTGAGAGCGAAAACCAAGCAGATGAATCTGTGAAGGTCCTCAATATAAAGGTGAAGAGCTGTCTCCCAGGACCCGCAAATGATGAAGATGGGGATTCATCCCCCCCCAGAAGAAACAGAGGCAGAGGAAGAAACAGGAGCCTCCCATGTCCCTGCTCCTGCTGCCTCTAAGAAGTCTTTTACATTCAACTTCAGAGGTCATCTGAGGAGGAAGGTTTCAGACAAAAATGAGAAGGACACCCCAGCAGAGAGCAAGGGTGAGAAGAAAGAGAGGAGGACTTTCCTACAATGGATGAGAAGAAAGAGAATCCAGCCAGCCCCTCTCAAAAATATGAATGAGGTCCAGTCTGACAGCAGTGAAGCAGAGCACAAACAGAGCAGCACCTCCAGTGAAGAGGACGTTGTGACTATTTCTACTCAGCTGGAGAAAAATGAAACCTTTTTGCCATGCCGAAGCAAAACTTCATAGAGTATCACAGTCACTGATACCAATCCACAAAAGTCAAGGTCGAAGACCTCTGTAGACTACATTGAGCCAGACGCTGAGGGTCCAGAAAAAAACAACACAAGCGCTGAGCCACAACCAAAGAAGAGCAAGCGGCTCAGGAAATTCCCCAGCAATCCGTTCTCAAAGGTAAGGACACATTTATTTGTGAATTGTTTGGTGGTTCATGAAGGAAATATGCTACAGTGGTCCAGACTTGATGTTTTTGGATATTTAGAGTTGATATTTCAATGGGCCGAAGTCCAGACTGTTGTGGGAAGGAACTGCAAGTGATTCACGCAACAGGATGGCCCAGCCAGGCTACAATTAATCTAGATGTTTTACAACCAATATTTAAACCCTATGTAAACCTTTAATAAATGGTTCATAAATAATGAATGAAAATTATTAATCATAATTTCATTGCTTGTTAATGGTAAAGTAACTATTAACTTACATTAATAAACTATCTATTTACCATTTATAGTTGGTCTATATGCTGTTTTTAAATGATTAAACAATAACAAACTATCTATTTACCATTTATAAATTATTATCATTTAAAACGTCAGTGTTAAATTTCCTCATTTCTGTGTTTTTATTTTACCATTAGATTAAATGTCACAGCTGGCAGAGCCCCTCAATGTGCTGTAAACCCCCTTATAAAAATAATACATGGTGAATATTGGGCTTAAGCAACAACAAAAAAGGCTATTGATTGCTGATTTTGCCGTCAACAGTACCTTTTACAATACAATTTTTGAATATCAACCAGTGACTGTTTTGGTTTGATATATAGTTACAGGGAATTTTAAAGATGTGTTATCATTTAAAAATCATGTGTTGCCCGGTGTGACTTCATCATGACTGAGACTATAAAAGGCAGGAACCACCACAGCACAGATCTTTTCACCTCGAAACACACACCTGTTAACTTGTTAACTTGTGAGCCGGAGGGAGAAATACTAGCAACCCATTGAGAGAGAGAGAGAGAGAGAGATTTGAATCAGAGAGAAGAAGGAAATCAATAGAGAGAGAGAGAGAAGGAGAGAGGTGGAGAAGAAGCGAGAGAGATCATGAGATCGATGGATCTGAAGATTCAGAAACCGTGAAATCGATTGACCAAGAGATCCAGAGAGCAACAGATCGAGAGATCCTGAAATTGTGAGATCCAGAGATCAAGAGAATTGTTTCATTTGTGACTGTTTGGAAAGACAAACTTGTCTTATTTGAGCGAAATGGAAATTGAACCTGAGAGAATGGAAGAAATCCCCATCCCTCCCAGGATCCCGGTGAACCCGGCAGAGGTAATACACCTCACTGTTTCCAGGATTTTTGAGGATCCTGATGAGTTTCTGGAGAGTAATGATCTGTTGGAGGACACAGATGCCACCTCCAGACCAACATGTGCTGCTAAAGATGTGGACATCTTCACCTCTGTGTGGTCTTCTGCACAGTCAGACATCTCTGCATCCACATTTGACACCCTACCAGAGGAGAGCAGGAGTCTGTCCTTCATAAGCTCAGATGTAGAGGAGGTGAGTGAATACTACATTATCCACACACACCTTGATACACAGGATAGGAGAGAACAACAAGGTCATTTTTAAGGGTTAACACACTTTAACAAGAAAATTTTACATCTGGGCAAGATGACTAAACATTTTGCAGAGGAAGTGGTTTATCAGAATGAACACTAACAGCATTATGCTGTTTATTTTCTCACATACAGAAACAAATGGACAAACTAAATCAACAAAGTGTGGAGCAGAAAATGAGACTTTTATTGTTACCTCGGGTCCACAGGAACCAAAAAATCTCAACAGAAGCTTTTAAAGTTGAAATCTGTTGTAAAAATAATACCCCTTTTAAAACACTGGCAGAAAAGGACTTGTTTCCTTTTAACCACAGAAAAACTAGAAACTTACAGAGGCAACATGCACTTAAGCTATTTTTCCTTCAAACCTTAACATCCCCTTCATTCTGCAATGAAAGGTGTTTGGTTTAAGAATAGGAAGTAGGAAACACTTATATCTTGAATACACTCACTGTTTTAAATGTGCAATCAGCTTTCTGCCCTCCCACAGCACCTAAAGATAGAAACCTCTGAAAATATCTCCCCAGATATCTCCACATGTATTAACACATTTCTTGCCTTGTGCAGCTATTTTCTCTTCCACACTCCTACTTATTCTTTTCATGAATCTGTGGCTTTACTGCCCTTTTACTATATCTATTTTCAATCACAGCTTCTATCAAAAAGGACTCCTCAGCACCCCCTTTATATTTTCCCTGCTCCCCTTTCTAAATATTCTAACACTGTATTATGTGAGATGTTCATCTCTTTCATCAATGTGGAGTATGTTCCAATCACAAAGTCTTTCTGTAGGGTTTTGTCTGTCTGCCTCAGTAGCGTGGAAGCCTGTATTTCTGAGTTTCTGTTTAATGTTGTTTTATTTATGTGGAGGTTTTTCTGAAGTGCTGTCCTCCACCAACATAGTCGGGTCACGAAGTAAGATTCTGTGACCATACTCTGGCAAGGATGTTTTGATGATTAATTTGACCTCTATGGACCCTTTAGAAAAGATTTAGCCCCCAGGTCCCTCGCAAAAATCTTGGCATTTTTTGGTAGACAGCTAAATTCAAGATTTTTTTTTTGGCTTGTTCCAGTTTATTAGAATTGAATAGGGTCAACTTACATGCTTCATGGACACATTTTCCAACCGGACCTTGCTCCCAATCGACAGTTGTATAAACATGTCCAAACTTGTCAAGGCCACTCCATAACAGTGCCCTTTGTTTTATGTTTTCCCAGTAGTTTGAGTGCAATATTCACTGGCCTTTATGTTGTTAAGTTAAGCTTTCTCTGTACTTGATCATTGGTTGGTGGGGTACCCCCAGATGACAGTGAAATGATAATGTTAGGACTTGTAACATCCTCAAAGAAAAAGATCATCACTGCATCCAAAGTTATCAACAAACAATGCTAAACCATTGGCCAAATTGTCAAATGATATAAGAAAAAGGCAGAAATTGTGAAAATAGCCGATATACTAGCTCATACGCCTCCCAATACAAGGTGTTACGGGCTTGTAGATCTGCTATTTTCACAATGTCTATATGTGGAACAGAGTCAAACAAATTGGGGGTTACCCAGTTCAAATATGATTGTTTTGGGGGGTCAAGTCCTGAAAAGGTTGGGAATCACAGTACTAGATGGCAGCCATCTTGAATATCGCAGTCAAAACGAAGTTGTATGATTAAAACTGTCAGATTTGGAATCCTCATGCTTCATACATGATTCTAGGTCATCCAGATCAAAAGTTAATTTTTAGAGATGGCGCCGGCCGCCATCTTGATTTTAGCTGTCTACCAAAAAATGCCAGGATTTTTGCGAGGGACCTGGGGGCTAAATCTTTTCTTAAGGGTCCATAGAGGTCAAATCAATCATCAAAACATCCTTGCCAGAGTATGGTCACAGAATCTTACTTCGTGACCCGACTAACACAGACTGATACTGTCAAAATGGTACAGAACAGGCAGATGTTGGTGTGTGATTGTTCATTCACCGGTAATGTGTTTATACACTCTTAAACTGCTGGTGTAACAGATCAGGAAGTTTATCCTGCATAAAAAAATATTTTCTTTCTAATATTTTATTCTTTTTCATTATTTTGGAGGTTTTCTTTGGTGTATTGAGGGTTAATTTTGCAAAAATTTTCAGTTTCGGTAGCGTGTTCATAATTTGCACATATAAAAGTTACAAGCTTGATTTAACTGTAAAAATAGTTTGGTAGTTTTATATATATGTGTAAAAGAGATGGAGTTTGTGACTTTTTCTTTAATACTTGGGCTGTAAATCAGAGAGAGAGCTAGCTTAAAACGTGGTTGTTTTGTGTGTGTACATGTGGCTGTGGGCTTTTGCCGTTAATACATCCCCTGTGAGAACATTTGAGTATTTCTTTTTCTCATGTAAGCTGTGTTGTAGAGATAGGACCCGGTTGACAGCATTTTTGCTCTCTCTGAATTTATTCAGGTATGTTTCTCTTGCTGTGCATCTGTTACTGTCCATGAAGAGTTCATTTGTTATTCACTGTTGTGAAATGTGGATTCAATGTTAAAAAAACGCAATGGATATGAAACTATGCAGACATTCTCTTTCATGTTGTTTTTATATACAAGGAAATATGTGGGCTTTTTTCATATATCTCTGTGTTATTCTAGACTATGCCTAAACCAAATATTCATCCAGAATGGATATTAAGTTATTGTTGCTGTATTCATTTATTTATTTTTTAGTTAACTTTTCTGTCAGTCTGCTTAGAGATCAACTGAGAGAGGAGTGTTGTGAAGATAAGAACCCATTGACTGCATTTTTGCTATGCTATGAGACCAGACTGTGTCCTTGTTTTCTGGAGCATCTGAACACAACGCAGGTTAGCTGGAGTGGGCAGACCCAGACCGGCTACACTAGGTTAAAAGGAACTCAAATTGGGTGAAAATGCTAACCCAGCGCTGGGTCCAAAAGGGACTGATCCAAGGCTGGGTGGTTGAGATCCAGCACGCTGTGTAAATATGTCCGACATTTATGAGTTAAAGCTGCAGAGAAATGGGTTATCAGTAACGCTGTGGTTTAAAATTTTCCTTTTTCATGAATATGTTTTCTAAGAATGTTACATTTAATTTACTACCCTTTAGCTTCAGTAGAAGTGATTTCATATAAATTCCTATTAAATGATGAAAGAACAAATTACTATTACAAACATTATTTTATTGGTCATGTAAATGCAACTTTCACTACGTAGCACAGTGCAAACAGTATTTTACAAACAGGGAGATAACAGACATTGTATACACACACACACACACAAACAAAAACACACACACACACACATACACTCACCGGCCACTTTATTAGGTACACCTGTCCAACTGCTCGTTAACACTTAATTTCTAATCAGCCAATCACATGGCGGCAACTTAGTGCATTTAGGCATGTAGACATGGTCAAGACAATCTCCTGCAGTTCAAACCGAGCATCAGTATGGGGAAGAAAGGTGATTTGAGTGACTTTGAACGTGGCATAGTTGTTGGTGCCAGAAGGGCTGGTCTGAGTATTTCAGAAACTGCTGATCTACTGGGATTTTCACGCACAACCATCTCTAGGGTTTACAGAGAATGGTCCGAAAAAGAAAAAATATCCAGTGAGCGGCAGTTCTGTGGGCGGAAATGCCTTGTTGATGCCAGAGGTCAGAGGAGAATGGCCAGACTGGTTCGAGCTGATAGAAAGGCAACAGTGACTCAAATAACCACCCGTTACAACCAAGGTAGGCAGAAGAGCATCTCTGAACGCACAGTACGTCGAACTTTGAGGCAGATGGGCTACAGCAGCAGAAGACCACACCGGGTGCCACTCCTTTCAGCTAAGAACAGGAAACTGAGGCTACAATTTGCACAAGCTCATCGAAATTGGACAATAGAAGATTGGAAAAACGTTGCCATGTCTGATGAGTCTCGATTTCTGCTGCGACATTCGGATGGTAGGGTCAGAATTTGGCGTCAACAACATGAAAGCATGGATCCATCCTGCCTTGTATCAACGGTTCAGGCTGGTGGTGGTGGTGTCATGGTGTGGGGAATATTTTCTTGGCACTCTTTGGGCCCCTTGGTACCAATTGAGCATCGTTGCAACGCCACAGCCTACCTGAGTATTGTTGCTGACCATGTCCATCCCTTTATGACCACAATGTACCCAACTTCTGATGGCTACTTTCAGCAGGATAATGCGCCATGTCATAAAGCTGGAATCATCTCAGACTGGTTTCTTGAACATGACAATGAGTTCACTGTACTCAAATGGCCTCCACAGTCACCAGATCTCAATCCAATAGAGCATCTTTGGTATGTGGTGGAACGGGAGATTCGCATCATGGATGTGCAGCCGACAAATCTGCGGCATGTAATGCCATCATGTCAATATGGACCAAGCTCTCTGAGGAATGCTTCCAGCACCTTGCTGAATCTATGCCACGAAGAATTGAGGTAGTTCTGAAGGCAAAAGGGGGTCCAACCCGTTACTAGCATGGTGTACCTAATAAAGTGGCCGGTGAGTGTATATATATATATATATATATATATACATTAAATATATATATTGTGATGGCCGCAGGCCTGAGGGTCTGTGTTTTTTTTCTTTTCCTGCCTCTGTTTGCCCTCTTCCAGATACACCTGGCTGGAATGCCTGCCCCTCCCCTCCCATCAGGGATTGCCTTCCCCTGTGTGGAGTTCTTTAAAAGCTGGGGGAAGTCAAAATGGCTCTCTCTCTCCCTCCAGGAAGGCTGGGTTGAGCCAGGCACCCACCTTGTTTTTTTTGTTTGGCTTTTGACTTTGTGGAGTTATCCTTGGTTTCCTTAGACATAGATTTTGTTTGCACACAGCTTCTCACAGCACCTTCCCTCACCTCACTACTGATTGCTGACTTAACCATTAGTTTGTTCTTTGTTGGTTCCTTTAATAAATTGCCTTATTTAAAAGCTGTTACTATGTCGACCAAAAAATGTCACAATGGCGTTATCACGATATCAACAAAAATTGAAATAATAATGGGACAATCAAACAAATTTGTCTTAACTTTATTGATGTTGTTGTCTCATTTTATTGGCAGATGAATTACTCTCAAAATATCTGTCTAAGGAGGTACTGAGACAATATGAAAACCGTAACTATACAACTGCATACAAAAAGTGCAATTACACTCAACAGCAAGTTAAAAAGTAACCAGGTGAACTGATAAACATGAAATAATCCACAAGGTGTAACTTCTGCTACAACTGGAATATTAACTGAAACATAAACAGTGGTGGATAACAGGGGACACAGCATTTGTGTGCAACGGAAGAATCTGTTTCCATTCTCTGCCTATGGCAGTTTTTTATGAGGGAAAACAAGCATATTAAGTTCATCAGGTTTTAAGCTTATTATAAAGTTATTTAAAATTTTTGGAGTCACAAACTGTTGCAGTCCATTTTTGGACTTTTCACAAAAATACGATTTGTTATTGTCTCAATCACTAATTAAAAGATGCATATTTCGGACAGAAAACAGCTGATATAAGGTTAGTATAGCATCTGCCGACTACACTAAAACTTTACAATAAAACTCTTTGATGTTAGTTGCTTGTTTAACTCTCGATGATATATGTGAAATGATACAGTGGGCTTGAATGCAACAGAGCACCGTAGAAAAAGTTACATGTAATCAATCATCATAGGTTTGCGTTTTCCGCGTTGGAATAAAGTCATATCAGTAAAATATCTGGGCTGATAAAACATCTAATCTCACGGTCTATTCAACATAAATGACACAAAAAGATATAATTACTTTTAGATCATTACTCATCACTGTTTAGCCCCCAAAATAAGAATTGTATGGGTTTTAAACTGTACATTTCTGTGGACTACTCTACTAATTTAACAACTTGAAGCAGTTCTGCAGCAATGGTGGTTGATCACGCCTTGAAAGTTGGTGCTACCAATTTCTACAGGTGTCCCAACTTTTCTTGATCACTTACAACCCCCTCTGTCCACATGAAAGTAGTATTAGAACACACTGTGGTACCATACCATTGTGAGCATTGTTTGAACAGTAGTGTACTGCAGAAAGTACAGAAGAGAAGAGAGACAGACCATCATAACACTTCAAAATGTAGGTCTTTCCCACAAAGAAATTGCCAAGAAAGTCAAGGTGTCAGTGAGTACAGTCTTCTTTACCGTCAAAAGGCACTCAGAAACAAGGGGAAATGCTGACAGGCAGAGGTCTGGCAGACCCTAAGCCACAACAGCATGAGAAGACAAGTTTCTGAGGGTCCAAGGCTTGCATGATGGGTGGCTCACAGGACAACAGCTTCAAGCACAGCGTAATACTGGCCACAGTTAGCAAGTCTCAGTTTCAACTGTTAAGAGAAGACTTCAAGTTGCAGGTTTGATGGGTCTAGTTGCAGCAAGAAAGCCATTGCTGAGACTTCAGAATAAGAAAAGTGGCTTGCCCAGGCCATGAAACACAGCAAATGGACTACTGAAGACTGGAGGAAGGTGTTAAGGACTGATGAATCAAAATTTGAAATCTTCGGTTCATCACACAAGATTTTTGTACGCCGTCGAGTAGGCGAAAGGATGGTTCCTCAGTGTGTGACATCAACTGTAAAACATGGAGGAGAAAGTGTGATGGTGTGCAGCGCCATGCAGTACCCTCTGGGATGCGCCTAGTTGGTCAGGGTTTATCCTACTTTAAGATAATGACCCAAAACACAAGTCCAAGCTATGCCAGAACTACCTAAAGAAAATGTATGTACTTCCTAATGGATTTTCAACCACAAGTAAGATTTAGTAAAGCTCACATATACATTGTCAACTGGAAACTCCCCTGTTTGTATATTCTGAACCATGTGCTCTCTACCAATAATCATTTTTATTAATCAGAGGTCTGTGCTTAATATGAGTGACCACTTTGATGATGCATTCAGAGATGAGAAGATGCTCAAACTTGTTGTAATAAATACATTTTTAATAGACAATAAATAAAGTCAATTCATACGAATAGTTAAAAACATTACCTACAATCCTAATTTAAAATACAAATAAATCTGGTAAAAAGATCAAAATATGATAAAAATTGTGTAATGTATACTGACTAAATATTGTTTATCTATTTATATATATATTATTATTATTGCAATCACATGCCATCTATTTCTTTTCAGCCTCCGGGAAAAAGGGCCATATTGCCAGCTGAAGTGCGCAATGCATTGTGGGGCAGAAGCAGTACGTGAAGCAAGCTCAGCTCCATACTCAGAAATCGAAGCCGATTGAGTATACATCCGGGCATTTCTCGCATACACAGAATTCGCATACTGTACAGTGTGAACGCACTGCCTACTCAATTCAGAGGCGGGGTTAGTAGGAGTAGTATGAGTAGTAGGCCATTTCGGACACAGCCAAAGTCAGCTGTCAGAGAAGGACCAGGGCAGACAAAGGAAGAGGCTTTTAAAGATGACTCCCCTTTCACGAGCCAGGTGAAGGGTAGCCAGCTTCCAATCAGATCCACTCCACACATCACATGGAAGGGCAGAGCAAGGGGCAGCCATCTTGTTCCCCGACTTCCTAATGAAGGAAGAGGGAGGAGAAAGACAGAGAGAGGGAGACCAGACAGGAGGCTCTTCTGAGCCAGCCACACGCATAACTATATATGTATATACATATGTATATATTTATATATACACTACTTGCCAAAAGTTTGGCAGCAAGGCTATAACAGGCTGAACAGTTGGGAGTAACTTCAAGTTTTTGTTCACAATGCTTTTTTTTAAATCCAGTATGAGTTTTATGTATTTTGGGATGTATTTACTCCATGATCAGCTGTTGCTTTCATGGAAATGCACCATTTTACTCCATTTACCTTTAGATATACATTGACGTTAACAGACCATTGCTAAATATATGTCAGCAAAAAAAATAAAGGCTTAGTTTTAGGGTTGAAAACATTTGCAAGAGTCACAACTTCAGTGCAAAAGCAAAAAAACAAATCACAGTTGGATTATTCACTTTAACTTTTTGGCTTTTGAGAGTCTGCAGATAAAATCTTAATAAATCTCAACTGCGTTCCAACTACCGCAAAAATGGCTAGAAAGAAGCATCTGAGTAAAGAAACAAAAGTACTGATTTGTACATTGACGAAAGAAGGATACACTGAAAGAGAAATTGCAAAACACCTAAAGGTGTTTAACAAAGGAGTCCACTACACTCTGAAGAGACTAGAGGAACCTGGAAGTTATGATGATAGAAAAAGACCTGGAAGAAAGAGAGTTACTACAAAAGCAGAGGATAAACATAGCACTGTCACCAGTAAGAGTCACTGGCAAAAAACAGCACCACAAATAAAGGAGGAAATCAACATGACAAGGTCGAAACCCATATCTCTGACTTATGATGACGAGAAACAAGTTTGAACTGTTTGGTTCAAAACGAAGAGTCTATGTCCGCAGACAAACTGGTGAACGTCTGAAAGCACCATGTGTTACACCCACAATTCAGCTTGGAGGTGGTAGTTCCATGGTATGGGGATGTTTTGCGGGTGATGGAGGAGGAGATTTGTTTGAAGTAATAGGTATCATGAAGAAGGGACAGTACCACTCCATCCTCCAGCACCATGCTGTTCTATCTGGATTCAGACTTGTGGCTCATAAGTTTGTTTTGCAGCAAGACAATGACCCTAAGCATTCTGCCAAGCTCTTTCAGGGGTACCTAGACAAAAAAGAAGAGGAAGGTGTTCTTCAAAATATGGTTTGGCCCCCTCAGTCTCCAGACCTTTCTCCAGTTGAGCTTGTGCGGGATGAATTGGATCAATCGGTCAGAAAAACATGTCCCACGAATCAGCAGTCTCTTTTTAATGAACTTAAGAAAGCTTGGAATGCAATCCACTTTCAAGAAAGCGAAGTCTAAGCAACAATGACTCAAATACCTAATAATTATAGTCAAAATGTCTTCTGATAAGTTACTCTTTACACAATAGTCATGTTTATTGTGTTGCAAATTATATATATGAAACTATGATCTTTTTTTGTACAAATCTGATCTTGCTTCCAAACTTTTGGCCTGTAGTGTGTGTGTGTGTATATATATATATATATATATATATATATATATATTTGTGTGTGTATGTGTGTGTGTGTATGCATCTCACAGTCGCCGGCACCAGAGTGACTAAGGAACGGCAGAAAAGACATTATGCCTCAAAAATCAGGCAGCCAAAAACACAAAGACAGGCAGGACAAGGGAGGAGAAGGAACTAAAGGGTCAACAGTATTTCAGGAGGAAAGGTGGGTTCATGAGTGGTTCATGTAGTGGAAAGCTATGTAATATTAACTTTGTTCTTGTTTGTGGTTTGTAAGCCAGCACACTTTTCTCCCCATGTCAGCTCAAGAAAACTCTTAATAAGTGTGTTTCGCTGTTGTTTTAGTTAAATAAGTAATGCAGTCTAATGTTTAGCACACTGGTTATATATTTAATCAGTTGATCTCCCCTCAGTCAAAACAATGCCTCGTTCTGAACAGTCAAGTGCACCAGAAGCAGCTGTCTGTCTTTCAGTCTCCAACTCCACCAGCTCCTCACCCAGCCCCAGTGCCCCCACATGAGGAAGGAGGTGAGCAGCTGTGTGTGTTGGATTAATTAAAATGATTTTCTTTATCACAGTCTCAAAACAATACACACAAACAATGAATCTGTTATGAGGGAAAATGTTAAAATAAAAATAATTCTGAACAATTTTAATGGTTTAAAATGCATAACTGTTTTTATTTTGTTAAAATTCATCTACCATTGAAAAAGAATAAATGTAATAGTAACAGAAGAAAAAATATGTTGTGTGTGCAGCTGACTGGGGTGACTGCTCTCAATCCAATAAGAAAAGTTTACATGTTCAGTGGGGGAATGCTTGTGAGAATCTATTACAAGTAGTTATATTATAGGAAACACAAGATAATTTATTCATGTCATGTACGCTCTACATATACACCTGCTCTCTGGAAAACATCTTGCATTGTGCCAGTACCAAAAACAAAATGTCCTGCTGAACTCAATGACTACAGACCAGTGGCGCTCACTTCACATATCATGAAAACCCTGGAGCGGCTGATTCTACGCCTTCTGAGGTCTGAGGTCAAAGACAAACTGGACTCCCTGCAGTTTGCATACAAAGAACACATTGGAGTGGATGATGCTGTCCTCTACATGCTTCACCGTGCCCTGTCTCATCTGGAGGAACCTGGGGTTTATGTGAGGATCATGTTCTTAAACTTTTCAAGTGCATTCAACATCATCCAACCCACCATACTCAAAGACAAGCTCACAGAGATGGGAGTGGATCCTTCCTGTGTTTCCAGGATCAGAGATTACCTGACAGGACTGCCACAGTTTGTCAGGCTGGGGAACTATGTTGCTGTGACATTAATCAGCAGTACAGGGGCTCCACAAGGGACAGTGCTGGCACCATTCCTGTTCACACTGTACACGTCAGACTTCAAATGAGTCCTGACACATCCGGAAATACTCAGATGACACTGCTATCATGGCATGTATCAGAAATGAACAAGAAGCTGAATACAGAGATCTGATAAGAGCCTTCAGTGACTGGAGTCACAAAAACTGCCTCCTCCTCAACACCTCAGAGACAAAGGAGATGGTCATAGACTTCCGTAGATCCAAACCCCCTCTTCAGCCAGTGAACACCTGTGGAGTGGACATTAAAGTGGTGACATTATATAAATATCTAGGTGTACATCTGGATAATAAGTTGTACTGGTCTAAGATAAAGACTTCATCCAAGGAAAGGGGCAGAGCCGCCTCTTTTGCCTGTGAAGAGTCCAATCAAAAGACATCTGTAGTAAGATGCTGCAGATGTTTTATAAGTCTGTGGTGGCAAGTGTGCTGTTCTACGCTGCAGTCTGCTGGGGAGGAAGCATCAAACACAAAGATGCAAGACGTCTAACAAACTGGTGGAAAAGGCTGGCTCTGTGGTTGGATTCAAGCTGGACTCAGTGGAGGATGTAGTGGAGAGATCTACACTGAAGAAGGTGGAGACTATTCTCAAGAACATGGATCACCCACTTCACAACACCTTAATGGACCAAAGGGCCAATAGTGATGGACGGCTCCTCTCTTTTCGCTGCAGGACAAAATATTCAGAAGATCTTGTTCTCACACCCATCAGACTGTACAACTCTTCTGTAAATAGTAGATGACTTTTAGTTTAGACATGACAAGTGAGGCGACAGACAATTGAATTTCCTTTCAAGAATTCATAAAATTCCTCTTATTATTCTTATTCTTATTCTCTACAGAGCCAGGTCTAGGACCCTCTACTGGTTTGTCAATGAGGAATGTGGAGGAAGAGATGGAAGAGGGTACAGATGAAAGTAAGAGTGCAGAAACACAGGCGGCAGATAGTGAGGACGAAGATGTTGAAAGAAATTAAGATGTGGAGGATGGACTAAATGAGTATAACTATATGTGTGTTACTGTCACGACCCAGCTCAAAGGTCAGACAGAAAAAAGGGGGGAGGACACGATCAACTCAAAGTATAATGATTTTTTTACAAAAGAATAATTTTACCAAACAAATTTTTACAAAAAATGGATGAGGTGTGTGCATCAGTAAGTCAGTGTGTCTGTTTTTGGATGAGTGAAAGATGTGTGTGTGTATGTGCAGCATGTTGTAGGGTGCAGAACCAGAATCCAAAGGAGGCCAAAGCCAACCAAACAAAAACTCTGCTGCCACGGAGCAATCTGCAAGCTTGCTCACAGTCACTCATTCCCTCTCGTGTTCTGCCCTCAGGCCTCAGGTCTGACATGAGTGCCGTGGTAAAAGGTATCGAAATGGGTTTTGTACCATCACCCCTACTCTGTATCCATGTAGTCTCTGGCATAGGGACTGGTTTCTTCAATGTAGGTGTGCGTACCGAGTTCCCTATCAGTGGTATTGATTTTATTATGGGCAACGATATTGCAGGAGGTAAAGTTCATCCTGTTCCTCAAGTGGTCAACATTCCTCTCCATGAGTCTCACAATGATGATGTTGTTGCAGGTCACCCAGATGTGTTTTGCTAGCGTGCTAACCCAAGCTCAAACTCACAAGCAACCAGAAGAGGTCAACCCGGCTGACTCACAATTAGCTTCTGTTTTTTCTGAAGATGCTCTATCACCCAACAGTGGTGCTGTAAGTAGTGGCATCCCAGAGCCTGAGCTCAAGCCTGAGACCAGCTTTACAGTACCTCTGACACATGAGACCCTCATCAGAGCTCAGGAAAGTGACCCGTTGGCAGCCAAGTGCTGGGCTGCTGTTGTTGAAAGGTCCAAATGTAGTGAAAGCAGCCATTCTTTGTTGATAATGGTGTGTTGATGCAACAGCGGGTCACTCCTTCACATTGTGTAGCCAGTGTGCCAGAGGATCATTCTGGGGTGGTGTATCAGATAGTGGTTCCAGTTAGCTATCATCAGCATTAGTGTTAGGGCATGAGCATGTTTGGGCAGGCCATCTGGGCATAACTAAAACTTACAACAGCATTCTCAAACATTTCTTTTGGCATGGAATGAGATCAGGGTTAGCATGTTTCTGTAGAACTTGCCTGACCTGTCAGATTGTGGGGAAACCAAACCAGCCTGTCCCTCCAGCCCCCCCTTCAACATATCCCTGCCATGGGGGAACCTTTTGAATATGTGCTGGTTGACTGTGTAGACCCACTCCCTTGAACTAAGGCTGGAAACCAAATTTTGCTCACTGTGGAGAACTTCTGGTGGTCAGAGCGCTCTAATGAGTGGTACCCCGAAGTTTGAGAAAAACTCACACTCCTCTCCCAGCATCAGAATATGTGGAGAATCTGCAGGTGCCCTTGAAAGGTAATGATATGAATGTCTTGTTTAACATTAAAATGTTAAACAAGACATTTATATCATTAATTCAAAAAGGTTAGATTTTGAACAATTTTTCAGTGGATCCATAGTGGTCTATTCAAACTATAGCAGGTGACAAAATAGGTGTTGTAGAATGCTACAAATGGCAGAAAGAGGATTATGTGGGGGAAAAGCTCTGTTTTATAGAAGTAAAGGGTGAATGGACAAAATATATGGCCACATGTCAAATGACTAAATCACAAAAAAAATAAATAAATAAATAAATCAATAATAATTATAATTATTACCTGCCATCTCTAAGTAGGTGTCAGCAGGCTACTTTCTTACCTATGCAAATAATGTTCTGTGAGAACACAGGATTCCAGTTTACATTTAATTTGCCTGAGGCCTCTGGATGTAAGAGAGAAATCTTGAGAAATCTAAGTACAGAAGAAAACATAGATACAAGAACAGGTGTTAATTAAACTATCATCAGTGGTTTACAGTTTCTTCAGAGGACGAAACCCAATCATGCCTGGAGTGTCCACTAAGCGGGGAAACAGCAATGATCTGAGGAAGTGGCACCGTGCCGTTTGAACGGATCCACTGTGCCCTGTGGATAACAGTTTCAAGCATGTACTGTGCAACCTGAGATTGTGGCCAGATATTATTTTTCAGTCACTCTGTCATTTGGATGGCCCGCTCTCCAGATATCGGGGACTCTTCAATATGTCGGAAATCAGTAAATCAGTGGGAGGCTCTGACACATCTTCACCAATTTCAAAGGTGCATGGAAAAGAAAAGAATCTTAAAGAAAACAGAAATCTCCAGCAACACTTCAAGTTTACTAAACACATTTCCACATGAAGCTTTTATCAAATATATATATACAGTATATATACTGTATATGTATAGACGTAAGTACATAAATATAGACGTAAGTACATAAATATAGCCAATCATGTGGTTTAAGACCAATGGACACTGCCAGAGAGGCATAGGGAGTGTCGAGTGGGAAACAGACAACACATTTTTGTTGAAACAATACAAGGAAATGACCACTGGTGGGGTTAAAGTGCATTCTGTGGTCAAGTGCTATCTGCAGGTTAGGTAAAATATTTCATAAAAACAATTTGTAAAAGCCATATAGCTTTAAACATGTAGCCTGATAAAAAGCTACATGATAAAATACATTGGTCTTATAAAGTTGTTGTGTCGGAGCTTTGGAAGTCCGAGCCACACCATATAAAGTTCCTAATCCAGTCAGCCTATGACGTCCTCCCCAGCCCATCCAACCTCTTCTGCTGGGGCCTGGCTGAGACTGCATGCCCACTCTGCATGAAAAGGGGATCCCTGGAGCTCATCCTGAGCAGCTACAGGAGGGCCCTAGGAGAGGGTTGCTACCACTGGTGTCATGTTCAGGTGCTGAGGGTCATCACAGAGGTCATCTGCTCAGGGTTCATCAAGCACCAGCAAAGAACACCATAGCTTTTGTCAAGGCTGGAGAGACGGTGCACCACTCCTCAAGAACAACAGGAGGGCTTCTAACAACAGCCCGGGAATGGCAGCTGAGGGTGGAAATCTCAAATTTCCAACTTCCATCGCTGAGACCTCACTTAGGCCAGATATAGGGCTGGTGTCAGAAACATCCAGACAGGTGGTAATGTTGGAGTTGACTGTTCCTTGGGAAGATCGGATGGAGGAGGACTTTGAAAGGAAGAGGGCCAAATATGAGGAGCTGGCAAGCGAGTGCCGACAGAATGGTTGGAAGACCTGGGGCCTCATGTATCAACGCTGGCGGCGCCAGAAAACCTTGCGTTCGCCAAGATCGGCGCACACGTCCAGATTTATCATCGCGAAACGAGCGTCGGTTCCAGCGCAAATCCACGCAAAGTGAGGAGGTGATGTAGAAGTTGGCGTTGAGCTGATACTTGCATTGATGGCACTTTGGCGACGCTGTGTGGTGGTGTTTGGTGACTCACTATGTGACAAGCGTGCACCACATCCCCGTGGCCGAGCAGCACGTTGCCCCACATGACAAACCAGCAGCAGATGGAGGGATGCGAGCTGATCCCTGCCGGGCCGCCGTCCTCGCGCGGGAGAATCTCATCGCCACAATGTGAATGGGTAAGAAGTGAATACACAGTTCAATGAGCCAAATTAATTTATTTTCTCCACCAGACGCTCGAGGACATTTACGAGCCGGTCCAGCCGCTCGTTGATCCCCGCGATCCCCCTGATGATTTCTTCCTGCGATTGCAGGACCGCATCCGTGAGGACCCTTCCACTTTGTCCAGGTGGGTGCTCCACCGCTTGTCAGCGCGCTGGTGCTGGGGCCGGGGTGGCCCGACTGCCGCTGGTCCTGGCCGACGACTCCGAGCCGGCGGACGGGCTGCCACGGGCCGGGGTTCCGCAAGCCGGCGACATGGCCGACACATTGATTTCTGTGACACAATAAAAATATTGGTTCATTTCAATTCCTGCTTCTGTGTATCTGTTGCGTTTACATCTATGGCAAAGCATGTGGACATTTGTGTGACACGCCACTTACCCTCCGGCAGGCTGTCTGAGTCGCTGCGGGTAGCGGCTACAACCCCCCCTGCCAGACACACACACACAGAGGTGCCCGCATAATCGCCACCCCCCTGCTGCTCAAAGGGCATGAGGGTCTCCTCCCCCGGAGGCCCACCTGTCTGGCCGGTACTCCTCCGGAGAGCAGCTGTACGCCACTTGACCTCCACCCTGAGGTCCGACCACTTTTTTTAAATCTCCGCGGGGGTGCGTGTCTCGGAACCCACCGCGTTCACCCTCTCGCAAACTTTCTCCCACTCCAAGCGTTTTCGTTTTGCACTGACGCCACTGGACAGGCTGCCAAAGAAAACACGCTGTCGCTCCTCCACCTCGCACGCCGTAAATTTAGTTTTTCTTGTCATTTTGTCTGCGTGCGTGGACAGGGAGACCCAATTTAAGTAAATCTGCATATTTATAGTTGGGCGTAACGGGGGCGGGCTCGGTCACTCCGACATCTGCGCTCAATTCCAAGCTGGTTGGGATTTATCAAGGAAACACACGTGGCTTTTGGCGCCCGCACACCTTTATACATACGAATTTTTTTCAGCGTGACGGACCTTGCGTGTGCTCGTTTCTGGTATGAGTCCCACGCAAGTGTTGATACATGAGGCCCCTGGTGTGACCCCGTTGAGGTGGGGTGTAGGGGCATAGTGGGCCAGTCTCTCTGTAGGGCACTGAAGAGGTTTGGAGTAAGAGGGCTGCACAGCAGGAGAGCCATCAAGGCCAACTCAGATGCCACAAAGAGGGCATCAAGATGGCTGTGGATCAAGCAGGGTGGACCGTGGACCACGAAAGCTACTTAGACAAGTTGGGGATTGATTAACCCCAGCTGGGTTGCCCATGTGAGGGTGTATGATGTTGAAGACCCCAAATACCCAAGGACCCTGGGTTACATCACTGATGATGTGTCTGAGTATGCATCGCAAGATGTCTGAAAGAAGTCCATATAGATTCTCATTCATCCAGGTCATGGCTTTCTTGATGACTGAAAAAGCAGGCAACTGGACTGTAGGCGATAAGAGGCGAAACGTCTTCTCAACTCTACTCTTCAAGAAAATGTCTGAAAGAACAAGTGTTGCTGGAGATTTCTGTTTTTTTCAAGAAATCAGGAAAGTCTAAGGGTGCACAACTCAGACACAACTTTAAAGTATGAAATTTGAGTTAAAGAAGGCTCTTTGGTGAGCATGGACATGTGTTTCATTCATTTTATTATTTGGACTTAGTTTTGCTCTGGGCGGCTGATTGTCACCTGTTACCTGTTTCAGAGGCTGCTCCCTTCTCCCCCACAGCACTGAGGCTGATTGAGCACACCTTCTGCCACTCTGCAATCAGCTGGCTTTAAAAACTACTGCCAACAGAAACCTCAGTGCCAGAGTACTGTAGTGGTATGGCCCCTCTGAGCTACAAGATTGAGTATATCTCCTTGAGTATTTTTTGGTGCTTTTTGGGTAATTGTGCTAACCCTTGTTGTCTTTCCCTTTTTTCCAGTGCCTCCCTCCAAGCCTCTCAGCAGCCCACCACCCAGCACTCTCTCCTGGATTCCTTTAAACCTCTGCTACCTTACTAAAAGAATAAAACCTGTTAAATATGTTAACCCTGGTCTGGTTGCATTTTGGGTCCAGTCTTTGCACACACACCACAGTTTACTTTTTCACAGCATTTCACATACACTCACCGGCCACTTTATTAGGTACACCTGTCCAACTGCTCGTTAACACTTAATTTCTAATCAGCCAATCATATGGCGGCAACTTAGTGCATTTAGGCATGTAGACATGGTCAAGACAATCTCCTGCAGTTCAAACCGAGCATCAGTATGGGGAAGAAAGGTGATTTGAGTGACTTTGAACGTGGCATGGTTATTGGTGCCAGAAGGGCTGGTCTGAGTATTTCAGAAACTGATGATCTACTGGGGTTTTCACGCACAACCATCTCTAGGGTTTACAGAGAATGGTCCGAAAAAGAAAAAATATCCAGTGAGCGGCAGTTCTGTGGGCGGAAATGCCTTGTTGATGCCAGAGGTCAGAGGAGAATGGCCAGACTGGTTCGAGCTGATAGAAAGGCAACAGTGACTCAAATAACCACCTGTTACAACCAAGGTAGGCAGAAGAGCATCTCTGAACGCACAGTACGTCAAACTTTGAGGCAGGTGGGCTACAGCAGCAGAAGACCACACCGGGTGCCACTCCTTTCAGCTAAGAACAGGAAACTGAGGCTACAATTTGCACAAGCTCATCGAAATTGGACAATAGAAGATTGGAAAAACGTTGCCTGGTCTGATGAGTCTCGATTTCTGCTGCGACATTCGGATGGTAGGGTCAGAATTTGGCGTCAACAACATGAAAGCATGGATCCATCCTGCCTTGTATCAACGGTTCAGGCTGGTGGTGGTGGTGTCATGGTGTGGGGAATATTTTCTTGGCACTATTTGGGCCCCTTGGTACCAATTGAGCATCGTTGCAACGCCACAGCCTACCTGAGTATTGTTGCTGACTGTGTTGGCTTCAATATGGGTAAACACACATATTGATGGTTAAAATAATAAATAGATAAAAATGTGAATAAGAAATAGATAAGAATACAAGGGTGTTAAAAATATAAATAATTTGATTATCTAAAAACGTTGCATTGTACATTTTCACTGTGGATAAATGAATGTGATTCGCCATCTGCTGGGCAAAGTTGGTACTGCACTTAGAGGCACTCACTCAGCACTTGGCTGTCTCACTGCAGATGAATGTAAACACTGAGATGAGAAGTAGCCACGGAGTTCATGCTGCCGAATTCGGACGTTCCAGCCTCGGAGACTATTTGTCTGTGAGTGAAGTGTTGTGACGGCTGTGCTGTGTAGAAGTTGTGATGATGTTTTGATTATGTCACGTTCGGTTTGCTGTAGTTTATGTTGTTAACGAGCGTTAGCCGTATGTGTTGTTAACGAGCGTTAGCCGTGTGTATCGCTAGCTAACATGTAGCTCTGTTCATTGAAGTCACATTAGCCCATATTGTGATTGTTTAAAAATTTGGGAGTGTGTATGTGTTTTTCTGACATTCTGTACTTTCTGTAATGTTTCAGTTTTACAAGTTGGAAAAGAACCAAAGAAAGGAACACAAGAAAAGTTAAGCCTTGTGTGGTTTTTTCGTGTTCGCTGACTGTCTAGCCTCGCATGGGAGAACGCGTCGTGAGGACAGTACAGTAAAAAGACAACAACACAGCGGGCTGAAGAACAAACTCAGCAGACATGAGCCTACGATCAGGACAAAGTTATTTGAAAGAATTTCCAGCACTTCAAGAAGAATCAGATGAAGATCCACCAGCAAGTGCTACAGATAACCTAAAACAAGAACCTCCTTCTCTCTCAACATTGGACGTTGCACCTCAAGCATCTATGAGACAGGATCCTTTCCAGACGCTGGACATGAAATCGCAAACATCTAAATCTACCAGAAGCTCACAACGATCTTCAGCGTCATCAACAGCAGTGAAGGCATATGCAAAGGCGAGGGCAGCCCGAGCTCAACTTGTTTATGCTGAAAAGGAAGCAAATGTGATGAAACAGAAAGCAGATCTCGAAGCCAGCCTTTACCTTCTCCAGTGCCAAAAGGCTGCTGCCGCAGCCGAAGCGGAGGCCAACGCCTATGAGGAAGTTGAAAGCGGGGAGAAGAGTCGGATTGAGGATGAGCCCTTCGATACAGTCCAGCGCACCAGCAATTATGTTCATCAACAGTCTGAGCGTATCCTTTCAGAGCTACCACTGGAACACATGGACAGGGAGTCGCTGGAGGAAAAAGCTGACAGGATGGAAATATCCACTGTCAAATCAGCCTTGCCAGATACAAACAATAACACACAGCCAGTTCACAAAAATGCAAAAGATGAGCGAACAACACAATCAGGGCCAGCTGAGCTAGGGCCGCATCCTCGCCCATCACGCTTGACCTCCCCAGAAAAGAGACATCCACCTGAGCCCCAAGGTGCTCAAGACCTCGCAAGATATCTTATCCGCAAGGAGATGGTGAGTTCTGGCCTCCTGAGATTTGATGACAAACCCGAAAATTACTGGTCATGGAAAGCATCGTTTATAAGCACTACAAAAGATTTGGATCTCTTAGACAGAGAAGAACTGGATCTTATGACCAAATGGCTTGGTCCCGAATCATCAGAACAAGCTAAAAGAATTCGCGCAGTCCACATCCTCAATCCTCGAGCAGGAGTCAATATGGTTTGGCAGCGTCTTGAAGAATGCTATGGAACTCCAGAAGTCATAGAAGACGCTCTCTTCAGAAAGATTGAATGTTTTCCGAAGCTGAACAACAGAGACACTGTCAAGTTACGAGAGCTAGGGGACATTCTCCTCGAGCTTCAGTGTGCAAAAGAAGATGGTGCCCTTCCAGGGGCCTCATGTATCAACACTTGCGTGGAACTCATACCAGAAACGAGCGCACGCAAGGTCCGTCACGCTGAAAAAAATCCGTATGTATCAATGTGTGCGGGCGCCGAAATCCACGTGTGTTTCCTTGATAAATCCCAATCAGCGTGGAATTGAGCGCAGATGTCGGAGTGACTGGGCCCGTCCCCGTTACGCCCTCCTATAAATATGCAGATTTATTTAAATAGGGTCTCCCTGTCCTCGCACGCAGACAAAATGACAAGAAAAACTAAATTTACGGCGTGCGAGGTGGAGGTGCTGGTGGCGGAGGTGGAGGAGCCACAGCGTGTTTTGTTTGGCAGCCTGTCCAGTGGCGTCAGTGCAAAACAAAAACGCTTGGAGTGGGAGAAAGTTTGCGAGAGGGTGAATGCGGTGGGTTCCGAGGCACGCACCCCCGCGGAGATTAAAAAAAAAGTGGTCGGACCTCAAGGTGGAGGTCAAGCGGCGTACAGCTGCCCTCCGGAGGAGTACCGGCCAGACAGGTGGGGGTCCGGGGGAGAAGACCCTCACACCGTTTAAGCAGCGGGTGGTGGCGATTATTATTATAGGGTAAGTGGCGTGTCACACAAATGTCCACATGCTTTGTCATCCCACTGAGCAAAAGACGTATATTAGACGTCTAGTCTAAGTTTATACTTCATTTCAACGTCGGGATTCAGTCTATTTTTAGACGTGATTTATACTTCGCCCTTAACTTAATTTTTCGATCACTTTTTATGCAATAAACAACTGTAATGTGCACAACTGACCTCGAAATACTGGATTACATTACCTATGATACCGTGGAGAGAGATGTAAACGCAACAGATACACAGAAGCAGGAATTGAAATGAACAAATATTTTTATTGTTGGTGCATCAGCACCAGCGCGCCGACAAGCGGTGGAGCGTCCACCAGCCGCGGCGCTTCCGCTGGACCACCCGGACGCAGTGGAAGGGTCCTTGCGGAGGGGGTCCTGCAATCGCAGGAAGAAATCATCAGGGGGATCGCGGGGATCAACGAGCGGCTGGACCGGCTCGTAAATGTCCTCGAGCGTCTGGTGGCGAAAATAAATTAATTTGGCTCATTGAACTGTGTATTCACGTCTTACCATTTCACACTGTGGCGATGAGATTCTCCCGCGCGAGGACGGCGGCCCGGCAGGGATCAGCTCGCATCCCTCCGTCTGCTGCTGGTTCGTCATGTCGGGCGACGTGCTGCTCGGCCACGGGGATGTGGTGCAAGCTTGTCACATAGTGAGTCACCAAACACCGCCACACAGCGTCGCCAAAGTGCGAATCACAGTCAACCCAAGTATCAGCTCAACGCCAATTTCTACACCACCTCCTGACTTTGCGTTGATTAGCGCTGGAACCGACGCTCGTTTCGCGATGATAAATCTGGACGTGTGCGCCGATTTTGGCGTACGCAAGGTTTTCTTGCGCCGCAAGCGTTGATACATGAGGCCCCAGGTCTCCAGTATTTGGATACAGCGCGTGGGATAAAGCAGATTGTGGAAAAGCTACCCTACAACCTCCAAGAAAAGTGGACGACCTATGGAAGCAAATACAAGGAGACCTACAGAGTGCCCTTTCCCCCTTTCTTTGTTTTCTCCAGCTTCGTCCGACAACAAGCAAAGGTGAAAAATGATCCAAGTTTCTTCATATCCACTGCCAACAGCCCACCTCCTGTCAAAACAGAAAGACTTGAGAGACACAACAAGCCTTTTGTGAGAGCGCACAAAACTGACATCCCAGCAGAACCGTCAGACATACAGGACAACTCTTTTGCAAGAAACTGGAGGAACCAGACCGCCAGTGCCCCATACACAAAAAGCCCCACCCACTGAAGAAATGTAAGCTTTTCAGAGAAAAACCGTTAGAAGAACGCAAAACATATCTCAGGGAAAACCGCATCTGCTTCAGATGTTGCGGGTCTGTACAACACATGGCGAGAAAAATCAGTGTAAAATGTTTAGAATGCAACAGTGACAAACACATTTCAGCTCTGCATCCGGGCCCCCCTCCCACAACAACACACAGAGATGCAGATGACAAAGATGATGCTGGAGCGCAAAGTGGAAGCCAATTTCTTGCAGTTACCTCAAAGTGTACAGAGATTTGTGGGAATGTTGAAGGTTTACGCTCATGTGTCAAAATCTGTTTAGTGAAAGTGTACCCTGCTGGAGAAAGGGAGAAAGCAGTGAAGACGTACGCGGTGCTGGATGAACAAAGTAACAAGTCTCTCGCAAAGAGTGAGTTCTTTGACATTTTCAAAATTGACACCAGCCCCACCCCATACACGCTGAGGACTTGTTCTGGAAAAATGGACACTTCTGGTAGAAGAGGTGGTAACTTCATTCTTGAGTCTGTTAATGGGAAATTACAACTTCCCCTCCCACCCTTAATTGAATGTGACGCGGTGCCCGATGATAGGGCAGAAATTCCATCTCCAGAGATCGCGCTCCATCACCCTCACCTAAAGCCGGTTGCCGACAAGATCCAACCTGTGGACGAAGATGCTCCGATCCTCCTGCTCATAGGAAGGGACATGGTGAGAGTCCACAAGGTTCGTGAGCAAATTAATGGACCTCACGATGCCCCTTACGCACAGCGGCTTGACCTGGGATGGGTTATTGTGGGGGAAGTCTGTTTGGGACAGGCACACAAGCCGACAGAAGTGAATGTATACAAAACAAACCTTTTGCACAACGGCCGCTCATCCTTTCTCCTACCTTGTCCAAACAGCATGATTGTAAAGGACAGCTATGCTGACACGTCACAGTGCAATGTTCCACCTGCCAACAGGAAAAATGCTGGACCTAGCACACCCGAAGACAACCTGGGAAACTCAGTGTTCGAAAGATCCAAGGAGGACGATAAACCAGCGTTATCAATAGACGACAAAGCCTTTCTAGCAATCATGGATGCAGAGGTCAAGCAAAATAAAGGGAACAGCTGGGTGGCGCCTTTGCCCTTTCGTTCACCTAGGAGACGGCTGCCAAATAACAGAGGACAAGCCTTGAAACGTCTCCAATCCCTCAAGAAAACCCTGGAGAAAAAAACAAAAATGAAAGATCACTACATGAAGTTCATGCAGCAGATGATAGAGAACGATCAGGCTGAACCTGCCCCGCCCATAGACAAGGGCACAGAATGCTGGTACCTGCCGACATTTGGCGTTTACCACCCCCAAAAACCAGAACAGATAGGGGTGGTTTTTGACTCGAGCGCCGAGTTTGAAGGAACGTCCCTAAATGATGTGCTGTTGAGAGGACCGGACTTGAACAACTCCTTACTAGGAGTTCTGATGCGGTTCCGAAAAGAGCCAGTGGCCATGACAGCCGATGTGCAGCAAATGTTTTATTGTTTCATTGTCAGAGAGGATCATAGAGACTATTTGAGGTACCTCTGGTATGAAGATAACAACATCAACAAGAAGGTGGTGGAGTTCAGGATGAAAGTCCATGTGTTTGGGAACAGCCCTTCACCTGCTGTTGCCATCTACTGCATGAGAAGAGCGGCTGAAAAAGGTGAAGAGGAGCACGGTTCAGATGCAAGACAATTTGTCGTGAGGCAGTTTTATGTTGATGACGGCCTCACCTCAGTTGCCACATCTGAGGAGGCCATAGATCTCTTGGCACGGACCAGGGAAATGTTGGCAGAATCCAATCTGCGGCTGCACAAGGTGGCATCAAATAAGCAGCAGGTAATGGAGGCCTTCCCAACCAAAGATCTCGCCAAAGATCTGAAGGATGTGGAACTGGGAGTGGATCCTCTCCCACTACAAAGGAGCCTAGGACTGTCTTGGAATTTGGAGATGGACAGTTTCACTTATCTTGTGTCTCAAGAACAGAAGCCATTCACACGCAGGGGAGTGTTGTCAACCGTCAACAGTTTGTACGACCCCCTGGGTTTTGTAGCTCCCATAACATTGCAAGGGAAAGCACTCTTCCGTGAGTTGTCGTCTGAGCAGACAGAGTGGGATGCTCCCCTCTCCCCAAAGAAGGAATCAGAATGGAACTCATGGAGGGACTCCCTAAAAGCTCTGGAGGACCTGCAGGTACCAAGGTGTTATGTTCCAATCTCACTGTCTTTAGACCAGAGAAAAGAACTCTGCATCTTCTCAGACGCTTCAACCATGGCTATAGGAGCTGTAGCCTACCTGAGAGTAGCCAACACTGAAGGGCAATACTACGTGGGATTTGTTATGGGAAAGTCCAAGCTGGCCCCTCGCCCTGCTCACACAATTCCACGTTTGGAACTTTGTGCCGCAGTGCTGGCTGTGGAGCTGTATGAGTTGATCAGAGACGAGATGGATATGGAAGTGGACGCTGTAAGGTTTTTCACCGACAGCAGAATTGTGCTGGGATATATCTGCAACTCCACGAGAAGATTCTACATGTATGTTTCAAACAGGGTCATTCGGATAAGAAGGTCCACACACCCTGAGCAGTGGCACTACACATCCACAGATCTCAATCCAGCTGATCTGGCGACCAGAACCATACCTGCAGCCCAACTCCAACACAGTGTTTGGTTCACCGGTCCAGCCTTCCTGTACCACGACAATGCAAGCGAGTCAGCCGAAACACACTCCTTCTCTCTGGTTGAGCCCGAGGCTGATGAAGAAGTTCGCCCAGAGGTCACAGTCTTTTCTACTAATACCTTCGATTCTCAGTTGGGTTCACATTGGTTTGAGAAATGTTCCAGTTGGACAAGCCTCAACAAAACAGTGGCCAGACTTATTCATGTTGCAGCGTCTTACCAAGGATCAGTGAATGCAGAGAAGAAAGGATGGAGATGTTTTAAAGAGACGGTGAGTGTGAGCGAACTCTCACAATCCAAAACTGTGATCATTCGCTCTGTCCAGCAGGAAGCCTTCAAGGAGGAACTGAGATGTCTTGAAAGAGGACGTGGAATGTTCAAACGGAGTACACTGGAAAGGCTCAATCCAGTCATGGACAAAGATGGCCTGCTCCGCATTGGAGGTCGCCTATCCTCAGCTGACCTGTCACAAGAAGAGAAACACCCATTGATCCTGCCTCATAATCACCACATTTCCACACTGCTGGTGCGACACTTTCACGAACAAGTAGCTCACCAAGGACGACACATCACCGAAGGAGCACTACGTGCTGCCGGCTACTGGATAATAGGGAGCAAGCGTCTGGTGTCTTCAATCAACTACACGTGTGTCACATGCCGTAAGCTACGAGGCAGGTTGGAAGATCAGAAAATGGCAGATCTGCCAACCGACAGACTTAGTCCTGAGCCTCTATTCACCACCGTTGGTCTCGACATCTTTGGGCCATGGGTTGTCATGACAAGGCGCACAAGAGGAGGACGTGCTGACAGTAAGCGTTGGGCAGTGCTCTTTACGTGTATGGCAACCAGGGCAGTGCACATTGAACTGATAGAAGCCATGTCAACAGACAGTTTCATCAATGCTTTGAGAAGATTCTTCTCTATTCGAGGTCCAGCGAAACTCCTGCGGTCCGACAGGGGAACCAATTTCATGGGCGCTTGCAGAGAACTGAATATGGCCATGAATGATTTAGGAGTCACTAAGTATCTCCAGGGAAAAGGATGCTCCTGGATCTTCAATCCTGCTCATGCTTCTCACATGGGCGGATGCTGGGAGAGGTTAATCGGAGTTGCCAGGGGAATTCTTGATGCCATGTTGCTGCAAAAAGGACCAATTCGCCTCACTCATGAGATTTTGTCTACATTCATGGCGGAGGTGATGGCAATCATCAATGCCAGACCCCTTGTGTCCATATCAACCGACCCAGAGATGCCTGCAGTTCTCACTCCAGCGATGCTTCTTACCCAAAAGATGAGTGCTGTTTCAGCCCCCTCTGGAGACTTTTGTACGGCTCCGCTGTACGGGAAACAGTGGAAACAAGTCCAGTGTCTCGCCGACACTTTTTGGAAGCGATGGAAAGGGGAGTATCTCTCAAGTCTTCAGAGCCGTAGAAAGTGGACCAAGGCCAAGCCAAACGTGAAGGAAGGAGATGTGGTCCTACTCAAAGACAGCCAGGTGCACAGGAATGGATGGCCAGTTGGACTGGTTGTGAAGGCCATCCCAAGTGGCGATGGCAACGTCCGGAAGGTAGAAGTGCGGATCGTCAAGGAGGGGAAGGCCAGAGTATTTCTGAGGCCAATCTCAGAGATTGTGGTTCTTCTTTCAGAGACTTAGAAAAGTCAAGAGTTATGACTATTGATGGACATTCATGTTTTTGTGTTTGTAGTGATAAAAGGTAATTATATCAAGCGGGGAGTGTGTTGGCTTCAATATGGGTAAACACACATATTGATGGTTAAAATAATAAATAGATACAAATGTGAATAAGAAATAGATAAGAATACAAGGGTGTTGAAAATATAAATAATTTGAATATCTAAAAACATTGCATTGTACATTTTCACTGTGGATAAATGAATGTGATTCGCCATCTGCTGGGCAAAGTTGGTACTGCACTTAGAGGCACTCACTCAGCACTTGGCCGTCTCACTGCAGATGAATGTAAACACTGAGATGAGAAGTAGCCACGGAGTTCATGCTGCCGAATTCGGACGTTCCAGCCTCGGAGACTATTTGTCTGTGAGTGAAGTGTTGTGACGGCTGTGCTGTGTAGAAGTTGTGATGATGTTTTGATTATGTCACGTTCGGTTTGCTGTAGTTTATGTTGTTAACGCGCGTTAGCCGTATGTGTTGTTAACGAGCGTTAGCCGTGTGTATCGCTAGCTAGCATGTAGCTCTGTTCATTGAAGTCACATTAGCCCATATTGTGATTGTTTAATAATTTGGGAGTGTGTATGTGTTTTTCTGACATTCTGTACTTTCTGTAATGTTTCAGTTGTACAAGTTGGAAAAGAACCAAAGAAAGGAACACAAGAAAAGTTAAGCCTTGTGTGTTTTTTTCGTGTTCGCTGACTGTCTAGCCTCGCATGGGAGAACGCGTCGTGAGGACAGTACACTGACCATGTCCATCCCTTTATGACCACAATGTACCCAACTTCTGATGGCTACTTTCAGCAGGATAATGCGCCATGTCATAAAGCTGGAATCATCTCAGACTGGTTTCTTGAACATGACAATGAGTTCACTGTACTCAAATGGCCTCCACAGTCACCAGATCTCAATCCAATAGAGCATCTTTGGTATGTGGTGGAACGGGAGATTCGCATCATGGATGTGCAGCTGACAAATCTGCGGCAACTGTGTGATGCCATCATGTCAATATGGACCAAGCTCTCTGAGGAATGCTTCCAGCACCTTGTTGAATCTATGCCACGAAGAATTGAGGCAGTTCTGAAGGCAAAAGGGGGTCCAACCCGTTACTAGCATGGTGTACCTAATAAAGTGGCCGGTGAGTGTATATTACTGATGAAAGGACACGGACACTTATGTACCTGGCAAGGTGATTTGGGGTTCTCTTTGAGGCACCTCTGCTGAATTTTTCTACTTGCCAGAATGAAGTCTTTTCCATACTTCCAAAAACCCTGTTGCAGGTTTGATTCCTCCCAGGCGTGAACCACGCATCCTTAAGATAACAAAGTTAGAAAAAAAAGTTTAACTGTGCTCTGAGTTAAAGTAGTTTGCCTAATTGCCAGACTTTGTTATAGCTGGTGTTTAAATATATCCAATAAATGTTTTAGAATAACATATGATTACTGCTCTTCATCAGGATGTCCTTGAAGAGATTATCAATACCAATGGATCCTTCCTGGACAAATTAAGGTTTAATACTAAAAATGATGATGATTACATTGATCTAATTAAAGTGTCAGAACCCTGTCACAAAAAAAAAAAAAGATTGGCTACTGAAGGGCCACCCTACCAGTGGGCTTAACAAGTTTTCTGGGGGGAAACCCTGCATCACAAGGTCCAATTTCACACACATTCACAGTCTGAATAGCAAGACACTTAAACTTGAAACTGCATATTCAATGGTAAAATACAAAGTCAAAGAAAAATACGGCAGTGCTTAATATGACTGGGTATCTCAAAATGTTTGCTCCTTTCTTGTATGTCCTGGTGACCAACATGACTACCACACTGGAATCTTTAGTATATGGCTTTATTTAGTGGTTTAAGGAACTTTACTCACTCAGCCTGTGCCCAGAGAGTCTCTAAGACATGGAAACGGCTCCACTATTGCTGATGCCAACATTGTCTTTGGACCTGAGATTGGACTAAATGACAAAAAGAATGTAATAATTTATTTACACAGCCAAACAATCCACGATAATACAACTGAATATACTGTGCAACAAACACTTAACTCTCACCGAAACATTCCATCAGGTGGGATACAAGAATTCTGTCCATGCATCTTCTTTTGTTGAGAGAAATGTGATGATTTTCTTCAAGACTGCTAACCAAGCATTTTCCATCAGGTGTCTTGCTCAATATCTTACAGATACTCTAGAAAAGTAGAGAATGATTTAAGGAATAAAAATGCAAGAAATTAAGTGTACTAGTTTAATGATGACAAATAAGACATATGTTTTTAACCCTGCTTAAAGTCGAAATGCAGCATGCTTGTTTACAGCAGGGTTCCCACGCCCTGGAAAATTATTCTAACAGGACTAGAAAACAGCCCAATCTAGCAACACTGGTAGGGCAGAGAGCACAGGGGGTCTGTGTGTCAAATTTCTCTGCAGGCTGAGAGCTCAATTACCGTACTATAGCTGGTACCAGTGCAAACTCCTGATAGTGAAAACAAACAGAGCTAAAAGAGCAACGCAGCTGCACAGAAACTGCATGTTGTACACATCTCTAATCACAACAGACATCGCTACGAAAGAAGACAGTTTAAAGTTTTTGACCTCTGAGAGAACCTCAGATATGGAGTGCATCTTGTATACCGTTGCAATTTTTCTAGAGTTTATGCTAATGTTATTCATGACATTTTAGCTTGCAATTATCGTTCTTGTCTGTCTGTCTGTCTGTCTGTCTGTCTGTCTGTCTTTCTTGCTAACTGAGCTAGGGTCACACTGTCAAGACTGTGTTACGCTATGAGCCTAGCAAAAGTGAGATTGAAATTAAATTATTTCCGATCTTAGATAAACAGCAATTGACAACAGTGTTTATAAACTCGTAAAAGATAAAACATGAAAAATGCGTTTGTATGAATAAATAAGTATAAATATAATAATAATAATAATAATAATAGTATAAATAATTGTATAAATAAGACTGTTGTCTCCCAGTTCTGCACAATCAGTTTGACAGTTGAATTCCCCAACACAATACTCTGCATTGTACCATATTGTGGTTACCCATCAGGAGAGTGTGAAGCAAAAGTGTCATTCCTGGCCTACACATACCTTGTTTGTACACTTTCCAGTCTGAGGAGTTGAAAAGTGGGTTTGATGGAGTTGCTGTTTTCACAGAAGTCTATCTGTCAAAGTTCTCTTTGGTACCAAGGAGTGAGGTGCAACTTCATGACTTAAAAGTTATGACTGAACATTTGGCCAGAGAGCAGAGTGTAGCACATCATCATCTGATGTCTATAGGCCTGGGATTTACAAATGGCTCACCCATTTTAAAAAAAATCTGTGTTTTGCCTCAAAACATTTGGAACCAAAGTAAACTAGAGGCCCAAGCTGTCTGATGGTATGAAGGTAATGCAGCATGAAATGGTGTTTGGGTTTCAAGTGTCTGTCTGTAGTAAAGCTCAAAATATAGGCAATAATGTTCCTCAATGTAAAAAAAGATAATAATAATAAAAATAATAATAATAATACATTTTATATTAAGCGCCTTTCACGTCACTCAAGGACACTTTACAGAACATATAAAACAATAATCAAACACTATTAACAATTAATGTCATCAATCATCAAAACAGTTAAAATCAACAAAGCAACATTAAAACATTTGACATAAACAACAGCAAAGAAATAAATAATACCAATTAAAATTAAATTAAAAAAGTGAGTTAGGGGTGGTGGGAGGGATAGGCCAGTTTAAACAGGTGTGTCTTGAGTTTGGACTTGAAGAGGGGGAGGGAGTCTATGTTGCGGATGTGTGATGGTAAAGAGTTCCAGAGTCGGGGGGCAGAGCGACTGAAAGCTCTGCCCCCCCATGGTGCTGAGGTGAACAGGAGGCACAGTGAGGTGAAGAGAGGAAGAGGATCGGAGGCGGCGTGATGGAGTGGCGATGTGGAGGAGGTCAGACAGGTAAGGAGGGGCAAGGTTGTGGATGGCTTTAAAGGTATACAGGAGGATTTTGAACTGGATTCTTAGTGGGACCGGGAGCCAGTGGAGCTGCTGCAGGATGGGGTGATATGGTGGGACGAAGGGGTTTTGGTGATGATCCAGGCAGCGGAGTTGTGGACCAGTTGAAGTTTATGGAGAGATGTGTGAGGGAGACCGAAGAGGAGGGAGTTGCAGTAGTCCAGACGGGAGGTGACAAGACTGTGGACGAGGATGGAGGTGGTGTTGGAGGAGAGGGAGGAGAGGGAGGGACGGAGTCGATTGATGTGGCGGAGATGGAAGTAGGCAGTCCGAGTGGTAGGGCTGATGTGGGATTTGAAGGAAAGAGTACTGTCAAGGACGACACCCAGACTCTTGACCTGAGGGGAGGGGGAAACTGAGGAACTGTCGATGGGAAGGGAGAGACTGTCAACTTTGGATAGGGTGAATTTGGAACCTACTAGAAGACTTTCTGTTTTCTGACTGTTTAGTTGGAGAAAGTTGGTGGTGAACCAGGATTTAATCTCGGATAGGCAGGTGATGAGGTAGGTGGGTGGGTGGGTGGAGTTTGGTGAGCTGGAGAGGTAGAGCTGGGTGTCGTCCGCGTAGCAGTGATATTGAATGTTGAATTTATGGAAGATGGAACCAAGGGGGAGGAGGTAGGTGATGAACAGCAGGGGCCCCAGGACAGAGCCCTGGGGCACACCTGAACTGACTGGGGAGGGGTCGGACTTGAAGGATTTGAGCTGGATGAACTGTGTGCGGTCTGAGAGGTAGGAGTGGAACCAGTGGAGGGGGGTGTGGGTGATGCAGATGGAGGAAAGTCTACGGAGGAGGGTGGGAAAGAGTCTGAGTGCAGTTGTTGGTGGATATTGGAGATTTTGTCATTAAAAAACTGCATTAGGGTGTTGCAGGTGTCGGTTGAATACAGGTGGGGAGGGAGGTAGTCCAGTGGCTGGAGAGATTTGTGATCAGGGGCCTCATGTATCAACACTTGCGTGGAACTCATACCAGAAACGAGCGCACGCAAGGTCCGTCACGCTGAAAAAAATTCGTATGTATCAATGTGTGCGGGCGCCGAAATCCACGTGTGTTTCCTTGATAAATCCCAATCAGCGTGGAATTGAGCGCAGATGTCGGAGTGACTGGGCTCGTCCCCGTTACGCCCTCCTATAAATATGCAGATTTATTTAAATAGGGTCTCCCTGTCCTCGCACGCAGACAAAATGACAAGAAAAACGACATTTACGGCGTGCGAGGTGGAGGTGCTGGTGGCGGAGGTGGAGGAGCGACAGCGTGTTTTGTTTGGCAGCCTGTCCAGTGGCGTCAGTGCAAAACAAAAACGCTTGGAGTGGGAGAAAGTTTGCGAGAGGGTGAATGCGGTGGGTTCCGAGACACGCACCCCCGCGACGATTAAAAAAAAGTGGTCGGACCTCAAGGTGGAGGTCAAGCGGCGTACAGCTGCCCTCCGGAGGAGTACTGGCCAGACAGGTGGGGGTCCGGGGGAGGAGACCCTCACACCGTTTGAGCAGCGGGTGGTGGTGATTATTATTATAGGGTAAGTGGCGTGTCACACAAATGTCCACATGCTTTGTCATCCCACTGAGCAAAAGACGTATATTAGACGTCTAGTCTAAGTTTATACTTCATTTCAACGTCGGGATTCAGTCTATTTTTAGACGTGATTTATACTTCGCCCTTAACTTAATTTTTCGATAACTTTTTATGCAATAAACAACTGTAATGTGCATAACTGACCTCGAAATACTGGATTACATTACCTATGATACCGTGGAGAGAGATGTAAACGCAACAGATACACAGAAGCAGGAATTGAAATGAACCAATATTTTTATTGTGTCACAGAAATCCATGTGTCGGCCGTGTTGCCGGCTTGCGGAACCCCGGCCCGCGGCAGCCCGTCCGCCGGCTCGGAGTCGTCGGCCAGGACCAGCGGCATTCGGGCCACTCTGGCCCCCGGCCCCAGCACCAGCACCAGCATCAGCACCAGCGCGCCGACAAGCGGTGGAGCGTCCACCAGCCGCGGCGCTTCCGCTGGACCACCCGGACGCAGTGGAAGGATCCTCGCGGAGGGGGTCCTGCAATCGCAGGAAGAAATCATCAGGGGGATCGCGGGGATCAACGAGCGGCTGGACCGGCTCGTAAATGTCCTCGAGCGTCTGGTGGAGAAAATAAATCAATTTGGCTCATTGAACTGTGTAGTCACTTCTTACCCATTCACACTGTGGCGATGAGATTCTCCCGCGCGAGGACGGCGGCCCGGCAGGGATCAGCTCGCATCCCTCCGTCTGCTGCTGGTTCGTCATGTGGGGCGACGTGCTGCTCGGCCACGGGGATGTGGTGCACGCTTGTCACATAGTGAGTCACCAAACACCACTACACAGCGTCGCCAAAGTGCGAATCACAGTCAACGCAAATATCAGCTCAACGCCAATTTCTACACCACCTCCTGACTTTGCGTTGATTAGCGCTGGAACCGACGCTCGTTTCGCGATGATAAATCTGGACGTGTGCGCCGATTTTGGCGTACGCAAGGTTTTCTTGCGCCGCAAGCGTTGATACATGAGGCCCCTGGTGTTTCCTTTGTTGGAGATGATCTGGGCGGAGTAGTGGTCTGTCTTGGCTTGAGAAATTGAGTCCTTGTAGCGGCGAATGTGGTTAGTGTACATTTCTTTGTGAATGGAGGGTCCAGTTTTCTTGTTAAGTCTTTCCAGTTGGCGGCCATTGGTTTTATGGAGCGGAGATGGGGATGTACCAGGGAGCAGTTGTGGAGAAGGAAACAGAGCGTGTTTTGACTGGAGCGAGGGAGTTGAGGATGTTATTTAAACAGGTGTTGTAATGGGATGTTATTTCATTGGGGGTAGCGGAACAGTCCAGGATCAAAATATTGTTAATGTTAGAGCGCAGAGTGTCAATGTTTATGTTCTTAAGATTGCGGAATGAAATGAGGCGTGGTGACTTAATTCTAGAGAGGCAGAGAGGAATACTGAAGGAGATGAGGAGGTGGTCACTTACATGGAGATCATTGGCTGTGCAGTTGGATGGGATGAGGCCAGAGCAGCAGAGTAGATCCAGAGTGTGTCCTTTAGTGTGTGTCGGGAAGTTGATGAATTGATGGAGTCCAAAACTGTCCAGGCATGATGAGAAGTCTCTGTTTAGGGACAGGTTGGTGTTGTCAATGTGGATATTGAAGTCCCCCAGTATTATCGTGTTTGGTGAGAGTGTGCATAGATGGGTGAGTAGAACAGAGAAGTCATTTAAGAAGTTGGTGTGGGGCTTGGGGGGGGGGGGCATAGATGGTGGCGATGATGGTGGGAGTGGGTCCAAGGAGTGTAAGTGCCAGAAGTTCGAATGAGGAGAAGAGCACAAGAGTCACAGCCGTGACTGCGGTGGTGGGAGAGGTAGGTGAAGTCCGGGGGGGGTGGAGTCGTTGAGTGATGAGAAGTCATTTGGTTGTTGCCATGTTTCAGTGGTGCAGAGGAAGTCCAGCTTGCGGTCAGTGAGGAGATTGTGGATGATGTGTCCCTTGTTGGTGAGTGAGTGGATGTTGAGAAGTCCGAAGCTGACAGAGGTATTGTCATGTTTGGTGAGGATGGGAGCCAGCATGGATGGGCTTGCTAAAACAGAGTGATTGACAGTCTGGGTGGTGTTTCTATCAGAGTGGTGTCTGTTGGTGATCTGGACAGGAATAGGGAGGAGTTGGATGCTACTGTGATTATTTGGGAGTGGGGAAAAGATGACGGGAAGACCTGTGGCAGAGGGAGTCAGTGACAGAATTTGCCAGCAGGGGGAGCTCTGGGGAGGACCTGTCAACAGTGGGTGCACCACAGAGGAAGAGGGGTGTGTGTGGGGGGGGGGAGTAAATAGTCAGTCACATGGGAAACAGTGTACAGTGTGCTGCAGGTTAGCTGCTAGCATGCGGCTACCTGTGGTGTTCGGCTGGATACCATCCGATTTAAAAAGGGACAAACGGTTCCAAAAAAGATTAAAATTGTCCACGAAGGCAAAGCTATGGGCTTGGCAGGCAGATTGGAGCCAGGTGTGCAAGCTGAGCACTCTGCTGAAGCCCCCCGCAGCCACGACCAGAAGTGGGAATGGGACCGCTGATAAAAACAGACAATTCAAAGTTCTTCAGGAAGTTAAAAAGTTGGGTAAAATGGTCCTTCGTGAGCTCGGTCTGGTGGAGGGACGTGTCATTTGTACCGACATGAATTATGATTCTCTGGATGGAAGTTGGGAGAGATTTTAACAGAGTGGGGAGGACTGTTAAAATGTCAAGGAGCCGGTGGAGTTGGGATGTGGTGTTCTGAAGATGATGGTGTCCATGAGTTTCTCGGCTTCCTGGATCTGGTAGAGGGTGGAGATCCTTCTCTCCAGCTCCTGGATCTTTTCGCCAGACAGGCGCAGCTGGCACAGCTGGATGGAGAGGAGCATGGAGCCATGGCTGAAACAGAGAGAGCAACAGCCAGCAGGCAGCCAATGACACCAGGCAGGATCTGACAGAGGACAGTCTTGATTGGGGATTGGACTGTGCCGAGAAGGACACTTACATGCCAGGGCTCTGTCCTGGAGCCCGCAGTGGTGAGGTAGCAGCTCAGACAACATGGGAGGAGACTTACTGGCAAGGGCCCCGGAATAGGGCCCGCTGTTGGTGGAAATCTCAGGTAAGTCTCTCTTGCAGCGTTCCAGCCATGGCCGATGTGATGGGGGGTGTTTATTTAATCCGTGTGGGTATTGGTTGATCGGTGTAACCGGATACACACAGAGTAAAAGCCAGTTGTTGATAAATCAGTTCCAGCGCAATGGAGGCCTGGTGACGAAACTGGACACCAAGGCTCCAATGTAATGCAAAAGGATTACTGCCCCTTGTTTCAGTGCAGGAGAAAAGATCAACCCCATGCAACTAAGTAATGAAAGGAGCAGTTCCCAGTGTTGGTTACCCTCAGGCACCAAACCCCATATCATTAGAGGCAGCAATCGTAGTAGACACCAGGGGCCTCATTTATCAAACGTGCGTACGCACAGATGTGTGCTTAGTGAGTGCGTACAAACATTCCCTTGCAAAGTATGGAATTTATCAACCTGTACTTTTTCTTAGGAACGTGCATAAATTTAAGCACAACTCTGACCATGCACATTGTTAAAGGGATTGTTGATACCATATATGGTTAGTTGGAGGTGTTTCTGAATGCAAATGACCCTAAACATGAACGAGCACGGTAGTAAAGAACAGGTGGGATTTATCATCACCGATTACTTACATGTGTGCGTACGACCGGTGTCCGCATGTTTGATAATGCAGATTTTTTTTGTACCTACACACATTCTAAATTTCATTCCCACACCAGAAATTAGAACCTTTGCTATGCATGGTTGATAAATAAGGCCCCTGGTCTGTTATGCACTTTGCCAAAGGGCTTCATCTGAATTTTTCAAGTCCTGGGGTTTTATGGTAGATGGCTTATTGTGAACATCACAAAACCCATAGTCAAGGCTGGTCAGTCTATAGTTCAGCTGCTCAAGTGTGAAAAGTTTTGGTTCAATCAATGAATTAACAACAAGCTTAAGTTCAAAACCACCCATGCCCTCAAGGATGTCATGCATGGTGTCAGGAGCAACATTGTCAGTCACATGATAGAGCTGCAACTTGTTGAAGGAGCAGTCTCTTTTGATGCAAGTTTCGATTGGATTGTTAGACAAGAAGGTCTGAGTGGAAGTTGACTTTATCACGAATCTAGGCAGAGTCCTCTACAGTCTGGACCTTTTTTTGTATCTGTTAGGATGAGTTTCTTTAGCCAGTCATGTCAGCCTTTAGAGTGGTGGAACTGTGTCACTCAAATACCTCAGATACTTCAGTGTTAGATTGCTGGAGCCATGGGCCTCGGACAACTATCCTCAACAAGGACCTTGTACTCATGTTTTACATCACACAGGTCCCCAAAATATGTTCTGTCATGGTATTTCCTTCTATTGACCCTCCATATATTTACCTGAAGCTCCTAAAAATATGTTGTTCTTTGTTCTTGCCGTACATGGATTTTTCCTAGGGTCAACTAAATGTCAGCAGTATGTTTAGAAATGTGGACGACTATATATACTTGAACGGTCTCAGACCAAACTTTGTTACGCTTCTGTTACACTTTGTCACGCTTTCTGACAAAGTGTAACAGAACCATGGGCTAGGCATCCTTCCAGTATCCAACACCATCGACACACCTATCATCAGTTTTGTAAATTGCCAACAAGAAATGAGACTTGAGACTTGAATGATACTCTGGTGGCAAACACTTAATAGTGTAATAGATGAACAACACAGAGCCTAGGAGAGAGTGTTGTTTTGAAACTGATTGAGCCTTTTTTGGGGAAAGGGAGAAATGTGACCACAGACATCTTTCTTACTTCCCTCCCTCTCGCCCATAAACTCCTGGCAAAAAACACCAGCCTTAAATAAAAATAAAAGATCACTGCCTCCTTCTTCACTCCTGAAAGCGGCCCTGTATGGCACCAGAGTTATGCAGAGTGAGTGCAACATTGACGATTTACCAGGGAAAGGAAAAGAAGAATGTGTGCATCCTCAGCACCATGCACACGTCAGTGGAGATCAGTGATCATGCAAAGAAGAGGCCAGAGACGATCCATTATTGCAACAGTACGAAAGTAGGGGTTGATTTGCTGGACAAGATGCTGAGGCAATATTCTGCCCATGTCGCAACCAGGAGGTGGCCAGTTGCGGTCTTTTATAACATACTGGACATTGTCGCAATAAACACGTGGGTCCTGTAGAGGTGCTGCAAAGGCACAAATATTGCCAGGCGGGATTTTATCCTGGAGCTCTGTAAGTTGTTGTGCACTGAGCACATCTCAAGGCCAGCACCAACACCTGCCATCTGACAGGCCATCCCCGAGGAGAAGAGGAGGAATTATACTGCCACAATGCCACAAAAATGTACATTAAGTGCCAATATGCAGTTTGTGGACAGTGCACAATCAAAGTGTACAGCGTGTGTGCTGACTGTGAGTAATATGTGTGCATGTGTGAGAGATAGCGCAGCGTTAATTTATCCATTCTTCTTAATTAATTTAAATACTGAAATCTGTTTTTTTGTGTATGTCATTGTAAATACTCTGTTATTTGATTGTTTCTTGTTTAGTTAACCTACAGCTTGTTGATGAATGTAAAAACAAATGTATTTTAAATGCTCTTCTAAAATTATTATTATTGTTATTTTTTATTATCATGGAGAAATCTGTTATTTTGTTATTGTAAATATTTTATTTCATCATTATGTTATTTGTTGAACAGTGTGTTGAATTTGAACATGCATTTGACCTTTTTGATGGAAATAATTATTTGCTTGAAAAAACCCACAAAAATATATACTTTAAATACTTATTTTGCCAAGTCTCCATTATTATTTTAAAAACAGATGAGAATGAGTAACCTGACACCTTCTAGAATTGACATTGTGGCATCACTGATGCTATTGGAGCTGTTGCGGATTCTAGTGTTTAAGTCTGTATGTGTCTCTAGCATGTTCACGCTGCTTGTGTAGGGTAGAAACAATGTTTGGGGACATGGGGTGCGTGTTCTACCGGGGCCGCACCTCCAAGGAGGAAGCATGGGCGAAGGTGGCCAATGATGTCGGGCTTTCTGGTAAGTTTGTTTGTTTATTTATTTCAGTGAGCAGACTATTTTCTGAAAACATTGCAAACTGCCCCTGCTTGCTAGGCTACATGTTTCAACGTGTGTGTGTGTGTGTGTGTGTGTGTGTGTGTGTGTGTGTGTGTGTGCAAGAGCTGGAAGGGGCTGCGGGATGTATACATGGAAGGGGCTGCGGGATGTATACATGAAGGAGAAAAGGAGGGAGAAGGAAGGTGGGAGAAGTGGGTCAGCGGCCTCCCAGCAGAAGAAGTGGCGTTTCTCTGCGGTGATGTCCTTCCTCGACCCCTTTATTGCCCCAAGGGAGGACACAACCAGCAACATGTCTCGGGAGGTCAAGGAAGATGTCACCGTAGACAATGCTTCTTCTGCTGGGATGCCTGAAGAGCTGGAGGAAGCAGGCCCCTCAGGAGCGTAGCATGGACTCTATGGCAGTTGGTTGATGAGTGAAAAAGATAGCAAATAAATTTGAGCCCCCCCATGGTTTAAACACACCATTGTAGTGTAATTTAAGATGGACATTTCAAATCATGCACATATAATGTGTGAAAATTTTTAATTTGAATTACAATGTTGCCTGATTGCAGAGGTTTGATTTCAAACATTTTTGTCACAACTTTAACTAAAGATAAGCCTGCTCCCTCTCCTGCTCCAGCTCCTTCTCCTGCTTCTTTGCCTTGTTTCTTCCTTTAACATGCAGTCATGAAGTAACATAACTAGGTTGCAATGCTTCGATGTATAAACTTTACTTAGACACAGCTATGGAGACATTCTTGTACTTTTATGTTGGACTTTTGCTCAATAGTTGTTTGTGGTGACTCTGAAAAGAGCCATTGTGGGGGTGCAGCACACTCCTTCAGCTGAGAAGTGCTCGGTGAAGGTCTGCCTGACTGCGATGGCCTCCCGGGACGAGTTGTTTGAAGCGAGATGTCTCAGCCCTGCCTGAGGCCCCTCACCACCCGTGATGGCACCCAACCCCATGGCAGCTTCAGGCTGAGACCTACTCAGGAAGTTATGAAGGACACAGGTGACCATCACACACTTCTCTGCAACATCTGGAGAAACCTCAAGGGCACGTTGGTACATCCTCCACTGAGTGGAAAGAATGCCGAAGGCATTTTCAACCACCAGCCGCGCCCTGGACAGCCAGTAGTTGAAAATGCGCCTCTCTCCGGGGAGGATGCGCCCTGGATACGGCCTCATGAGGTTCCTCCGGAGCGGGAAGGCCTCATCTGCAACAAACACATGAGGTTGGGGTCCCCTGTGCTCAGCTTCTGACAGTGATCGATCCGGAGGCAGCTGGAGGGAGCCAGAATGGAGGGCCTGACCAAACGCAGAGTTGGCCAGAATCCCCCCCATCACTGGTCCTCCTGAAGCCTCCAACATCGATCACTCGGAAGCAATAATTGGCACCTACAACTGCCAAGAGAACAATAGAAAATGTGCCCTTGTAATTATAGAACTGTGATCCTGAATTGGCAGGAGCCTTCAGAACCATGTGCTTCCCATCCACAGCACCACAACACAAGGGGAAGTTCTGCCACTCCTCAAAACCTTGTGCTATGGATCTCCACTCATCACAGGTGGGCACAGCCATGAAGTCCTCCACCAAGCACTCCCAGATGCAGGACACAGTGTCTGCCACGATGCCTGACACGGTGGAAACTCCAACTCGAAAGCTGTAGGCAATGGTCCTGAAGGAGTCTCCAGTAGCCAGGAACCTGAAGCACATAAAAATTAATTTCAGTACTATTTTTATTCAAAATATGAGGCCATATGAAATACAAATGTAACCGAAGATTTGAGTGTCCATAAATCCTCTTTGACATGGACATTTATGCTAGCACCCAGTGTATCTGGTCATTTTAAATTAATTACATTTGATTATACTCACCGCAGACAGATAGACAGGAGCTCTGAAGCTGGGATGGAGCGCCTGTAGTTCGTGTCGTGGCGGGAGATGCTGTCTCCCACCTGGGCGAGGAGGTCCTTGAACTCCGCAGACGATTCACGGAAATACCGCTGGAAGTGCCCATCGTCTAGGCGGAGTTCCTGGAGCAAGCGGTGAAATTCCCCCAGCTCCGTCCTCCTCTGGGTGGTTTCATGCACCCAAACATTCCTGGAGCATCTGCGGCGTATGTAAAGATACAGGGCAACACAGGGGACGACGTCGGCCACCTTGAACACTTGTCGCACTGAAAACTGAGCTAGTGATGTCATCGGCGACCAGCCGCGTCCTGCGACCTCCGTGACTGCAGCTTTGGACCCGGTGTGACCACACCAGGGTGCGACGCGATTACAGCGACCAACATGACTAGGTCGCCTCAAGTCGCATTTGGTCTGAACGCGGCTTTAGACTGGGGACTTGCAGGTCTGACTCTCCTCCTACTATATACTGGAATCGGTCGAAGGCAATATGTGTATTCCTCCTCTTCCTCAGTGTTCAGACTCCTGCTCCACTGTCTCTCTGTTGTTTCTGTATCAGTCTGTCCGTCTATGTCGCTTTTTAGGTGCAGACTGACTCAGTGGGACTTCTAAGGGCAAATCATTAGCAGGTAGCAGAAGGTTTCGATGCAGCGCACAGAGAGTGCATTCACCTGTTTCTGGTTGAACTCTGTAAAAAGGTCCGTCTCCCATTTTTTTTACCACTCAATGAACCTCTTTCTCCCAATAAGCTATAAATTTACCCGCACCGCCCCTCTGTGACAGATTCCTGACAAGCACATGATTTACAGGCTGCAGTGTGATACCTTTGACATGCTGATCATAATACTTCTTTCCCTTGGCTGAATGTTTTCCACTGTTTTCTGAAGCAATCTTGTATGCTTCCTGCATGCATGCCCTTTTCTGTGCATACTCTTGCCAGAACAGTGGCTCCTCTCCAGGTTTCAAATCAAAGAGCAGATCTACAGGTAAACGTGGAGCTCTTCCATAAAGAAGAAAAAAATGGTGAATAACCTGTTCCCTCATGTCTTGTACAGTTGTATGCATGGACAATGTGAGGTAGGTGATCCTTCCACTCTTCCATCCTTCCACTTGCCTTCAGGAAGAACCAACTGTTTCCTCTGTCCTGTCTGTCTGTACAAGATTCCCTTGTCAAGTTTGAGTCTGTTTCATTCATGTACTACTCTGTGTGTTTCTCTTCCCATTTGTCTTTTTTCTATATCCTGAGGAGTACATCCAGTCTTCTTTTGGTCTTATGACCTCACAGATGGGAGCATCTTCTTTCTGTGCAGCCAGTGTGTGTGTGTGTCACTTGCATAAGACTGTAGCTGTAATTGCAATTTACAGCTTTGTCCCCCTGCCAAATGACAGAGACTACATCAGGGGACACTGCCTCTGTGTACTCTTTTAGGTGATCAGCAAGATGCACTGGGTGTCATGACAGGGTGTCAACATTTGACTTGTCTGGCCAATGTTTGATGGTGAAATGAAAATCTGCGAACTCACCCACCCAACGATTTCCAACTGTGCTCAACCTGGCTGAGCTCAAAACAAGCATGAGGGGGGTTATTGCCCATGTAAACTGTAATCTCTAAATTTATCACAGATTGCCCACTTTAATGCCAGGAACTCAAGCTTGCTAAAATGGAGATGGTAGTTTTTTTCAGTGGGTGTGAGTGTTCTGGAGCCATAAGCTTATTTCCCTGCTGTTGATAGAGCACAGCACCCAGATCTTTGTTTGGGGCATCTCTGTGGAGTACAAAAGGTAAGTCATAGTCTGGATAAGCCAAAATGGATGGACTGGTTAACATATCCACCAGGCGTGATACTACAGCACAGTGGCCCGATGTCCAATAAAGAGGTGATTTGGATTAGAGCTCTCAGTATTTTGTGACTGAACTTTGGTAGCTCTCTGGCTAGTGTCAGAGCACCTTCTACTGGTGCAAAGTGGCAATGTCCCCTGCAACACCGTTGACAAAGATTAAAATATTAAAATGAAAAGGGGGGGGGGGGGGGGGGGGGCCTCCACAATAAATCATATGTGGCTACTTCAGACCCACTACATATATGTAATGCCTTAATTATCAGGTGGCTGAAAAAACTGTCAAAC